TGAAACGTCAGCCTTCCTGCTCCTATGATGCTGCTTGGCCTGCTGTGTTCATCCAGCTCTACACCTTATTATCTCAGATTTTCCAGCATCTGCAGTTCCTACTATCTCCAACGCCAATAGGATGTTTGCGAGTATTTTACCAAACAGGGGGAGTGACTGTTCATATGAACATACTAATTAGGAGCAGGAATAGACTATATAGCTCCTTCAGCCTGCTCCACCATTTGATAAGATTATAGCTCATCTGATTGTGCCTCTAACTCCACTTGCCTGTTTGGTTCTCCATCCCCATCCAACCCATGACTCCACAGTCTATCAAAAATCTCGATATATTCAATGACCCAGCCTGCACTGCTGTCTGGGCAAGAGAATTCCACAGACTAAGGTCTATCTGTGAAACAGCATTTTTCCTCATCTCTAACTTAAATGGCACATTCCTAATTTTAATTTGTGTCCCCTGGTTCCAGTCTCTCCTACAAGGGGAAATAGTATTCGCTTTCAGTATCCACTCCTACCCCTAATGTGGGATTTTAAAGGTTTCAGTAAGGTCACCTCTTATTCTCCTACAGTCCAATGGACACAAGTCCTGCTTGGTCTATCCTTTCCTCAGAAGGCAACCCCTTCATTCTCAGAACAAGTCAAATGAATCTTCTCTGCACTGCTTCTAATACAACAATGTACTTTCGTTACTAAATCTGTACAGATGTGGTCTCACCCATGTCCTGTAGAGGAGCGGAGTTTAACTACTCTTATATTCCATTCCCCTTGCAATAAAGGGCAATATTGCATCTGTAATCCCAACCATCTAACATCATTTTCTTCTGAAGAACTGAGACTGGCACTTCCACCAGGTCATAGAGTCATACAGTCATAGAGCTGTACAGCATGGAAACAGACCCTTCGGTCCAACTCGACCATGCCGGCCAGATATCCTAAATTGATCGAGTCCCATTTGCAAGAATCCCTCTAACCCCTTCCGATTCATATACCCAACTAGATGCCTTTTAAATGTTGTAATTGTACCCACCTCCACTATTTCCTCTGGTAGCTTACTTCACACACTCACCACCCTCTGTGTGAAGATGTTGCCCCTCAGATCCCTTTTAAATCTTTCCCTTCTCACCTTACACCAATGCCGTCTAGTTTTGGACTCCTCTACCCTGGGGGGGATGATCTTCTTTATTAACCCTATCCCATGACCCTCATGATTTTCTAAACCTCTACAAGGTCACCCTTCAGTCTCCAATGCTCCAGGGAAAATTGCCCAGCTACTATTTAGCCTCTCCCTATAGCTCAAACCCTCAAATCGCAGCAACATCCTTATAAATCTTTGCTGAGCCCTTTCAAGTTTCAGAATTGAACACAGCATTCCAAAAGTGGCCTAACCAATGTCCTGTACAGCCGCAACATAACCTCCCAACTCCTATACTCAATGCACTGACCAATAAAGGCAAGCGTACCAAACACCTTCTTCACCCCTCCTGGGGCTCCACTTTCAAGAAACTATGAACCTGCACTCCAAGGTCTCTTTGTTCAGCAACACTCCCCAGGTCCTTATCATTAATGAAGGGGACCTACGAAGATAAAGAGGGGTTTTGATCTTACAGGGCCTACATCTTCAGAGTTGAACTTCTGTAAGAACATCAGGTAGAAGGTCCCACATACTGGCTTCACCAGGGATGGGTTCAGCACAAAGGCCCGAGTTTTCTCTTGGTAACATTTCCTTGGTGCATCTACCACACTAAGCCCCTCTGCCAACGAGTTGGCAGCTTACTCTACTCTACTGGGGCGAAGGTGATCATGCCCCATTCACTTGCAAACATTCCAGCTAAGAACCAAGGCCACCAGATGCTTAGTCAGGAATAGAAGCAACAGACACGACTGTCTGTAATCTTCTGAGCCAACAGTTAGCACTGGAACACCATTCTAATGTGGAAAGCTCATAGTTTGTGCCACCTTGGACTGCACTTGATGGTGCCTGGATAATAATAGCAATGCCTCAGACACCTCACCTCCTCACACTCGGCTCCATTCACCACAATGAGGCCTTCACACTCGCGGCATTTGTTCGGTGCTCGGAGTTTCCTCAGGCGGTGAGTCTGTGCTGCTTTGGAGAGTGAGATTTTCTTGAAACGCCCTGCCGTTCCTGGAGTTTCATTGATCAAGTCGGTCAAATCTAAGAGAAAGTTTTCAAGATAAATTGAGTCTAGATTTATATTAGTGCCCCCCACACCCTCCTTCCCTATTCCTGCCTCTTAATTCTCCTCTGTGCTGTCATTTTCTCACCTCTTCCCTCTCCGTCTCACACTCATTTTCTCTCCCAAACCTACTTGCATTTCCTCTCATTCTCCCCACCTCTCCCTCTTCGTCTCCCCATTTCATCATCATCCCTCCCTCTTGTCCACTTCTTCGCTCACATGGTTCTCTCATTTGCCTTTTCCCTAAATCACCTTTCTCTGCCATCACGGCAGACACTATTCCCTTCTCTTTTTCATTCCCTTTTCCCCACCATTTCACTGTTTTTGCTTTGTTGTTCATCCCCTCTAATTTCCCTTATCACCTCGTTTTCCTCCCTTTCACCCTTCCTTCCTTCATGTCCATCCGAGCTCTCATCTTCCTTCTGCCTCCTTTGGGGTCAGAGATTGCTGAGCGGCCAAAATGCCCTGGCTGACCGATGTGTCCTGCCCACCCACTGGGTGTGACAGCAAGTTTCAACAAGATAGCTGAAAAAAGAGCCCAGAAAGCAGAGAGATCTGGATGTGCCCTGGCCGGGAAATCGCATGATTCACACCAGCTTTCTTCAGACACAGGCGGAACGGTGGCTCAGTGCTTAGTACTGCTGCCTCACAACGCCAGGGAGACGGGTTCAATTCCTCGGGTGACTGTCTGTGTGGAGTTTGCACATTCTCCTTGTGTCTGTGTGGGTTTCCTCCCATAGTCCAAAGATGTGCAGGTTGGGGTGGACTGGTCATGCTAACTTGCCCATAGTGTCCAGGCTAGGTGGGTTGTGCACAGGAAATGCAGGGTTACAGTAATAGGGTAGAGGGACTGGGACTGGGTGGGATGCTGTTTGGAGGGTTGGTGTGGACTCGATGGGCCGAATGGCCTGCTTCTGCACTGTAGGTATTCAATGATTCTATGACACCAAACCACTCATCATCAGATATGCCATTCATTCACCTACATTTAGACACTTTCTTATGAATCTGATGATCAGAAGGACCCAACTTTTATTCTGCCAACGTAAGCCGACTTTCCATTGAGGTGTTCCTCTCAAATTATACTCAACACCCACCCTAACACCCCACCCCCCCCCCCCCACCACCCCACGCTTCCCCCCACCCCGCCACCTTACTTACCACTATCTTGTGATCGGTTCAAATCTCTCTCTTCAAATTCATCTAGAGATATTGCAGAAGACATGGCTTTTGGTAGCTTCCTACCGAAATGAGCTGCAGAGATATAATGTGGGTTTCTATAAATCATGCACGTATGATTGAAACAGAGCTGGCTCTGACACACACACAGATAAACTGGTGACCTATTTGATGAGCCTCCCTGCCATTTCCGAAGGCACTAGGCACCTCTTCAAGCCAGCGTTTATGATAAGACCAACTCAAGAGGTTGTTGTATACTGTGATGCAGGGATAAAATAATTCTCACTTATCCTTCTATATTGCAGATGTTTTCTGCTGCTCTCCTTGCCATTCAACAACCTCACCCCCCACAACCGTCTCCATACTCCTGACAGGGTTTGAACCCTACTGACCTCACTCATATTAATAGACCTGCAAAGGAATATTCACCGAATGTTAGGAGTACCCTGCAACTCTCAAGTGTCAAGGTTAAATAGTGCTGCCCCCACAATTTTTTTTATTCTTTCAGTAGGAGTGTGTGTGGCACCGCCTGGGCCAACATTTATTGTCTTGATTGCCCTGGAAAAGGTGGGTGAGATGCCTTCTTGATATGCTGCGGTGTTGTTCGGAAGTGAGTTGCAGGATTTTGACCCAGTGAAGGTGAAGGAGCGGAGATATAATTCCAAGTCAAGATGGCCTGTGGTTTGGACAGCAATTTGCAGGTTCCAAACATATGTTACCCTTGTCTTTCTAGGTGGTAAATGTCAATGGTTTGGAAGGTGCTTTCGAAGGAACTCTGGTGTGTTGCTGCAGTGTATCTTGTAGATGGTACACACCATTGCAACTGTGTGTCAGTGGTGAAGGGCTGCATGTTGAAGGAGGTGGACAGAATGCCAATGAAACATTGAGGGGGTCACAGTCTAAGAATAAGGGGGTAGGCCATTCAGGACTGAGATGAGGAAGAATTTCTTCACTCAGAGAGTTGTGAACCTGTGGAATTCTCTCCCACAGAAAGCTGTTGGAGCCGGTTCATTAGATATATTCAAGAGGGAGCTGGATGTGGCCCTTGCAGCTAAAGGGACCAAGGGGTATGGAGAAAAAGTGGGAATGGGATACTGAGATTGCATGATCAGCCATGATCATATTGAACGATAATGCAGGCTCGTAGGGCCAAATGGCCTACTCCTGCACCTATTTTCTATGTTTCAATGAAACAGCTGTTTTGTCCTTGATAGTGTCGAGCTTCTTGAGTGTCGTTGGAGCTGCACTCATCCAGGCAAGTGGGGAGTATTCCATCCCACCCCTGACTTGTGCCTTGTAGATGGTGGACAGGTTTTTGAGTTACAGGAAGTAGATTACTCATTGCAGAATTCACAGCCTCTTGGGGTGATCATTTTTGTGTTTTTGTGCATGCCAGTAGGGTCTAGCAATACAACCCCTATCAAATCTCAACTGGAGTCAATGGTGTCTAAATTAATCGCATTATGTTTATGGTAGCAGAGTTCCTGTTTCATGTAAATGTGAATTTATACAGCGTTTCTGTTATATTCTGTGATTTGTGTCATTTTACAAGTTATTTCAGCTATGAATCTATAGCGCTGCATATGTGCAGCTTTTCCATTGTTGTTACTGAACAAGAAAATGTCCAGGGGAACCCAGCACTGGCTTTAACATTGGATCCAATGGAAACCCATGATACACTTAAAATCATTTCATTTAAAGTAGCAATTCTTAAGAATGGGACAATGATTTTAAGTGAGGACAACCTATATAATAGTCAACCACCACTACTCACATTGACTGAGATTAGATAAATAATTGATAAATGATCAATAAAGGCTGACCTAGCTACTGACACCCAAATCCCATGAAAAAATAAAAGAGAAGGCACAGTCCTGAAATCTGTCAATAAAGCATGGAGGTATGCATTAACCTGAAGAATAATGGCTGGAGCTACTGCAGGCTAATTTTTGACTACACACAATTCCATAAGTAGGTCCTCCTAACTTCATTCCAGGACAGCTTTCTCTGATACATACCTGGACTGGACATCGGGGAATCCAAGGAACGTGATTCACTGCTCACTCCAGTGCTTTCTGAATCACTTAAAGCAGGTTTGGTCCCAACTGCATTTCGAAACACTACACAACAAGAAAAGGAATATATAAATTCAGGAATATATAAGTTCGGGAAACCCCCAGTGTTCTGCCGAATGGAGATGAGCTCATGAGAAGAAGGTAAGAATGGATTCTCCAGAAAAGGTCCTTCCTATAACATTAGATTGCATGTATATAGCACTTTGTAGTAAAAGATCCCAAGGTGCTCATGCCCATTTCAGCTTCAGTGCTCCCGATTACTCTTCTCACTAAGTGCATTAATATCAGAGGTAAAATAGAAAGATTTCATCGATTATACAGCATAGGGGAAGCGCATTTGGCCCATTGTGCCTGTGCCAGCTCTTTAGTAGAGCTTTCCAATTTGGTCAAGGCCCTTACTCTCTCCTTATAGTCATGCAACCTTTTCTCTTGAAGTATCTACCAATTCCTAACTGGAACTTACTGTCAGATCTGCTTCCACCACCCTATCAGACAGCATATGTCAAACAATAAAAACCTGCTAGTAGGATAATTTCTCATCGTCCCATTTTGCAAATCATCTTAAATCCGAGTCTTCTGATTACTGACTGGCAGCAGAAACAGTTTCTCCCCACCTGCTTTCACAAAATCCCTCTATTTTAAAGTTAATTTTCATGCTCAAAAAGGGAGCAGTTTTTGCTTCTCTAAGTTCTCTGCATAACTTAAATCCTTATCCTTCACTTTTTGTGATATGAAATGGCACTGTAGGATCTATTAAATTGTACTGAAAACAATTAAGTAGGTGGAATAAATTCAGCCATAAATTGTAGACAGAATTGTAGATATAGACCACGAGAAGAGGAAAGCTGCCTCTCAAACCAAAACTCAAAGTATTCTTCAGAATCCCTCAATTCTACATTAGTTTTCATAAACCACAGTTGGCATTGGCTGAATCATCTTATTTTCCTGTAAGCTTTGTCTTGTTTTAGCTTTGCCTCATTGGGTAGCAACCTTTGCATGAGTGGCTCGTGGTTTGAGCCCCTTTCCTGGACCTGAGCTCACAATCTAGGCCAACATTTCCCTGCAGTACAGAGGCAGTACTGTGCAATCAGACAGCAAGGCAGTGAACTCTCCAGACCCTCAGGAACATGCCAAACATCCTGTGCTACTTTACAAAGAGGACTGGGGGAGTCCTTTTCACACCTTGGCCAACAAAATTTCTTGCACTGATGCCACCACAAAAATGACTAACTGGTCACTGAACTCATTGATGTTTTTGAGAACCTTGCTGAGCACAAATTTGGCTGTTGTGATTGCAAAATGTCACAGTGGCAAGTAACATTGTGGCATACTTTCAGAATAGAATAGCTGTGGTTCAGTGGGTGGCACTTATCTCTTGACTTAGAAGGTTGTGGGTTTGAAGACCTGCTCCAGAGACTCAGGCACAAAGTCCAGGCTAGAAGCCACTAACTGGCGTGTTGTACAGTCAGAAGTGCCATGTTTCAAGTGAGATGTTAAAATAAAGTCTATCTTCCATCTGAAATGGATACAGATTATTTCAATGAAGTGCTGGGGTATTCCCCTCAACCCCCCCAATATCTATCCCTGAACTAGCATCACAGCAAATCAGATTAGCTGCTCATTATCACATTACTACTGGCGAGAGCTTGCCGCAAGCTGGAAATTGGCTCTCCCAGCCCATGACATAGGCAGTGAGTCAGAGGATACAGCTGTAGGATACAGACACTACAACGAGGAGATTAAAGCTGCAGATTTCAACAGTCGAAGTTTATAACTTGTGAAGGAGTTTAATCGTTTCTGGTTGGCTCCTTGACAGAGGTTCCTTCTTTACCTCTCGAGAACATATAAAACCGGGCTTCGAGATAGTAGGAACTGCCGATGCTGGAGTCTGAGATAACAAGGTGAAGAAGGGTTCAGAGCCGAAATGTCAGCTTTTCTGCTCCACTGATGCTGCCTGGTCTGCTGCGTTCATCCAGCTCTGCACCTTGTTATCTAAGACCGGGCTTCTCCGTTTGTCAAAATCACTTTTCACCAACTTACTCAGTTTGTTTTCAAACTCGTCTGACAAGCTCAGCAAGTCACCAGAAGATGCTGACGATCGATGCAGCAAATTGGTACCACTTCTTCTCCTTCCAGTAGGGGACGACCTGCAAGTTAAAATAAACATACAATTTGTCAGTGGGCCAAACCCATCCGATCAGTCGCACTGCAGAATCCCATTGAATGAAACATTCCATTCATTCTCTCATTACTGAATCTCAATGGGCCATCCTTCATTTGGTATAACACTCACCTCCTGCTGGGGGTAGCAAACTCCTCAAACGCATAGAACTCCATAGGCTGCATTTTCTTATCCAGATTCTGAATAAACTCAAAATATTTCTGGCCAGGCTCGTAAGGTTTGATGTTCTCGTGCAGTGAGTGGAAGGCCAGCGGCACTTGTTCGATTTGTTCCTCCTGCATTTGGAACAGGTTCACAGAGACCTGGTGAGAGAAATGTATGAAAAGGTTAGATTTTACTGCTCCAGGGCTGTGTTTATAGTAAGTCAAAATCAATTCCTAAGATAGCGCTGTGAGTGACGACTTGTAAGCTTTTCACTGTACTCATCTGAGTACATGCGACAATAAAGCTGATTCAGTTCAATTCCATAAAGCTAATTCAATAAATGAGAGTAAAATTGTGCTAAATCGAATCGCATGGGGGGGCTTACCCACAGATCTGTGTTAGGTAGAGCTACAGGGCAGCTAAGGGGGCCCCAGTACATATGAGAAAAAATGTTTTTATTTTCAATTTGTTCACACCTTACGAAAACCTGACCTTGCACAGTAGAAGACATTTAAAAATACCAGGAGTTAGCTCTGGAAACACTCAGTAATCTTTCTCTGCTTAGCATGTTGTCTTTGCATGAGTGTGATACAGTCTGCCATGACATCATTCCTTTGGTGCTGCCATGTCAAATCCCAGAGCACCTCCATGTCTTTTGTAGCTTCAGCAAGTTAGCATCCACTTGCTTCTTGGGGGTCATTGACTCTCCTCAGGATTCCTGGGTCCAAGAATATGCTGTCTCTACAATTGCCTCATCCATTCAGTTCCAACGTGCAGCGTATAGTATCACCCCACCTCGGTGTCCACATCGTCTCTGCCATAACTTCCATTCCACCGTCTCACAGGGAAGAAGAAAGTGCCTCTTCATAGAATCATGGAAAATAGGAGCAGGAGTAGGCCATTCGGCCCTTTGAGCCTGCCTCACTGTTGAATATGATCATGGCTGATCTTCCAAAACAGGACCCTGTTCATGCTTTCTCCACATACCCTTTGATCCCGTTAGCCCTGAGAACTCTCTAACTCCTTGAAAACAGTCAATTGTATGGCCTCAACCACATTCTGCGGTAGAAAATTCCATAGTCTCACCACTCTCTGGGTGAAGAAATTTCCCCCCCTCATCGCAGTGCTAAATAGTTTATACTATATCAGTAGACTGTGACCTCTGGTTCTGGACTCCTTTGTCATTGGCAACACCCTTCCTGTATTTACCTTGTCTAGTCCTGTTAGAATTTATAGGTTTCCGTGAGATTCCCCCTCATTCTTCAAAACTCCAGTGAATATGGTCCTAACTGTTTCAGTTTCTCTTCAGATGTCAGTCTTGCTTTGCCAAGAATCAGTCTGGTAAACCCTTTGTTTGAACTGTCTCCATAGCTAAAACATCCTTACTAATATAGTGGCTTGGCCTCACCCTGTTCCCTTTGTTCTCAATGGCTTACTGAGTTATAGTATCACTAGAGGCTATGGTGCAATACACACAAGGCAGTTTTCGAAGGGCAGAGGGTTTCATTCTATATCTAACGCAAATTCTACTTGAGAAGGTAGAAAGATATACACAGAAGTGCAAGTAACCATATAGCTCCTCAAGCCATTCTACCACACAATAAGATCACAGCTGAATTCCCTTATCCATTTATGCCTTGATTTCTTTAATGTCCAAAAATCTATCAATCTCAGTCTTGAATATCTGCAACAACTGATCATTTGCTGCCCTGTAGGGCAGTCATTTCCAAAGGTTTGCAACTATTTGAGTGAATACATTTCTCCCTCACTGAATAAAAAAAACGAAAGAACTGCGGAAGCTGTGGATCGGGAAATAAAACAGGAATTGCTGGAAAAGCTCAGCAGGTCTGGCAGCATCTGTGAAGGAAAAAACAGAGTTAATGTTTCGGGTCCTTCTGAGGAAGGGTCACTGGACCCGAAATGTTAACTCTGTTTTTCCCTTTGCAGATGCTGCCAGACCTGCTGAGCTTTTCCAGAAATTTCTGTTTTGTCTCCCTCACTGAAATCCTTTTTATTTGGCTTCTTATGCTTGAGACTCTAGCTCTCAGTTTTCGACTCTCCTGCCAGGGGTGAAAAGAGCTCCTTAGCATTTACTCTGTCAAAGAATTGCATCGGTTTTAATAAGAACACCTCTCCTGATTCTAATCTCAGGAGAATATAGGCCCATTTCTACTCTGCCCTCCGAGCTCACCCTATCATCCCAGGAATTGATCCAGCAAACATTGATTGCAACCCTTCTAAGGCAAATATATCTTTCCCTAGATCTGGAGACTAAGGGTGGAATTTAATCTTGGTGATGAGGGTCTCGCCCATTATTTAGAGAACTGATGGGAGCCCCACATCACCTTCTGTGGGGAAGACCCACCAGCATTATGGTGATATCCTGTGCAACAGTCAGCAAGCAGTTACTACAGGGCAAGAAAACACAACCTCACCAGATATTGGGGCTTTTTGTAAGCATCTTGTCAGAGGAGGGCTGGGGAGCAGTCAGTGTGAATAGTGAAGGGAAGGCCGAATACCTCAATTCTGCTCCTATATTTCATGGTCTTATGGTCTAGGATGGAGGGATAGAGAGTGATAGAAGAGGAGCATCTGGGACAGACAGAATTAAAGAGACCCTTAGAAGGGTCAAAAGTGGGATAATGAAGGTGAAAATAAACGGGAAAAAATGTGAGAATGACACAGAGCACTAAGGGTAAGAATGATGAAGTAGACAGCAGACACAGAGAGGAGAAAAATAAAGAACAGCATTAGCTGAATACTTCACCTCTTTCAGTATGAGGTCACCCTGGTCGATGAGTTTACGAAGCTGTGTAACAATCCTCACTTTCAGTGTGTCCAGTTCCTTGTGCTTGATGTTGGCCTCGAAAACACAGTTTCTATAATAAATCTCGGCTTCTTGAACCTGGAGGTAGAGGATAAACACAGTGAACTTAGAGATAGTTAGAAGTGCAGATTCTGGAGTCAGACATAACACAGTGAACTTAGTCCTTTCTGCACTGAAAGCCATTCAGAGGAACAGGTCTGCAGGGACATAGAAAACAGTGCAACATGGGAGCAGGAATAGGCCATTCAGCCATTCAAACCTGCACTGTTATTCTAGATCATGATTGATCATCTACCTCAATGTCATTTTTCTCAGGCTATCCTCGTATCCCTTGATTTCTTTAGGAATCTATGAATCGTCTTGAAGTTATTGAAGGACTGAGCTTCCACAGCTCTCTGGAACATAAACTTCCAAAGGTTCAGTCCCCTCCCAGTGAAGAAATTCTGCTTAGGCTCTGTCCTAAATGGCCTGTCCCTTATTCTAATACTGTTCCCTGGTTCCAGACCCACCTGCTAGCCAGGGGTAGTATCCCAGGGATTTGTTAATTTTGAATCCCATTAATTTGTCCAATAATACTTTTTTACTAATTTCTTTCAATTGCTCATTCTCACCAGTTCTTTGGATCTCTATTATTTCTGGGAGATTTCTTGCATCTTCCTGTGTGAAGACAAATACAGTCATTTTTTAGCATCATTGTCCTTTCCCTGTTCCTGCGATAAATTTGTTTGTCTTTGCTTATAATGAATCAACATTTATCTTTGCTAATCTTTTTCTTTCTACGCACCAACAGAAGCTTTTACACTCTGTATGATGTAGCTTCTTCATAGATTCATAGAATCCCTAGAGTGTGGAAGCAGGCCATTCAGCCCATCGAGTCCACAAGAGCATCCCACCCAGACCCACCCTCCCTACCCTATCCTTGTAACCCTGCATTTCCCATGGCTAAACCACCCAGCCTGGACATCCCTGAACACTATGGGCAATTTAGCATGGCCAGTCCACCCTAACCTACACATCCTGGAAGAAAACCAGAGCACCCGGAGGAAACCCACACAGTCACAGGGAGAATGTGCAAACTCCAAACAGACAGTTGCTTGAGGATGGGATCGAACTGGGTCCCTGGCGCTGTGAGGCAACAGTGCTAACTACTGAGCCACTGTGCTGACGCAGACTATGACTACACATCAATTTCAGCTAGACTGAATGTCACACAGATCCCCTCTCCTGTCTAAGGTCAGACTATGTAGCAGTATGTCCTGGGAAAACTAACCTCATTCCCTAGGACTCCAGGGCTCAGTAACCTGGGGAGATAAATCAGACCAGAGCTACCTCACTGTTTAAGAACGCCCTGAGTGGAGGTGACTGAACACTGCAAGGCTTTGCGACAGGTAGGGTGTCCCAGAAGGCAGGAGTGTCAGCCTTGACAGTTGACCCGGAGGTTTTGATGTTCTTTTAGCCTGTTCTGATGATAGTGGGTCTGCAGGGTGAATGAGCAAACTGACCATAGCACCGTGGTACGCAAAGACATTTAAATAGGAGGAGCAACAGGGAAGTTAGTGGATTTGAATACAGGAGCAGGGATGTCTTGCTGCAATTGTATAGGATCTTGGTGAGACCACACCTGGAGTTGTGTGCAGTTTTGGTCTCCTTATCTAAAGAAGGATGTTACGGCTATGGAGGGAGTACAAACCAACGTTTACCAGGCTGATCCCGGGATAGCAGAACTGATGTACGAAGAGAGACTGGAACAGTTAGGATTACATTCACTGGAGTTTAGAACAATGAGGGGATCTCACAGAAACCTACAAAATTCTAACAGGATCAGACATGGCGACTCTTGGATAGGCACATGGAGGATAGTAAAATGTAGGGTATGCCGGGTAGTTTGATCTTAGTAGGAAAATAGGTCGGCACAACATCGTGGGCCGAAGGGCCTGTACTGTGCTGCACTGTTCTATGTTCTGTATAAAGACAGGAAGGATGTTTCCATTTACCGGGATGCCTAGAACTGGGGGCCACTACTTAAGAATACGGTATAGGCTGTTCAAGACTGAGAAGAGAAATTTCACCCAGAAAGTGCTGAACCTGTGGAATTCTCTGCCACATAAAGCAGTCAAGGCTTAAACATTTATTGGTTTCAAGGAGTTAGATATAGTTCTTAGAGCTAAAGAGATCAAAGAGTATGAGGAGAAAGCGGGGACATGGTACTGAGTTGGATGATCAGTCATGATCAGTTGAATCGCAGAACAAATCTGAAGGGCCGAATACCCTATGCCTGCTCCTATTTTCTATGTTTATCTGAATGTAGTAGTGGTCGATGATAGTATAGTGAGGGGAATTGACACTATCCTCTGCAGCGAAGAATGAGAGTATGGAGGCTGTGTTTCCTGCCCAGTTCCATGGTTCAGACATCTGCTCAGTGCTGGAAAGGAATTTGCAGTTGGAGGACTTGGATCCAGTGGTCATGATCCATATTGATCCTAGTAACATAGGTAGAACTAGGAAAGAGGTACTGCCTTGAGAGTATGAGGAGCTGGGCACTAAATTAAAAGCTGAAACCTCAAAGTGTTATAATTTCTGGATTATTACCTCAGCCACCTACAAATTGGCAAAGGGTAAATAAGGTTGGAGGCTGATTGAAAGACTGTTGTAGGAGAAGTATGTTCTGGTTCATGGGCTATGGGCCCCCATACTGGTGTAAGTGGGGACTGTACCATTGTTCAGTCTACGTCTAAACTGTGCTGCGACCAGTGTTTTCCTGAACCACAAAACTACGGATGTAGAGAGGATTTCAAACTAAACAGCAAGAGCAAGGGATCAAATGTGGAAATATGTAGTATATCAAAGATAGGACACCGTAAGAGAGAAAAATAGTATCTGGGAAATGAAGGTTAGAGCATGGGAGGGAAGGGCAGACAGAAAAACTTAGCAATACATCAAAAATCAAGACTAGATGTTACAAAGATAACAAAAAAGACCAAAGCCTTTGTATCTGAATGCACTTAGCATTCATGATGAAGTAACCAAAATAGTAGCACACACTGAAGTGAATTAAAATGAGTTAATAGCTATTATGGAGGCATGGCTTCAGGATAACAATGGCTGGGTGCTGAATATTGAGGGGTATATGACATTCAAGAAAAATAGAAAGCTGGGTAGAGGTCGAGGAGTAGCACTTTTAATGACATTTGTGCGATAGTTAGAGATGATCTTGGTTCAGGAGATCAGGATGTAGAATCATTTTGGGTGGAGATGAGGAATAGTTGGGGAAAGACGTGGCTAGTGGGAGTGATTTCCAGCTCTCCCAACAGTAACCACAATGTGGAACAAAGTATACAAGAGAAATGTAAGGTGTTTGTGATAGAGAGACAGCAGTGATCATGGGAGACTGTGTCTGTTTAAGATTTCCAGCATCTGCAGTATTTTGCCTTTATTCTTCCTGCATTTATTCCGTTACAATGTTATTGGTTTCTACGAGATTTTCCTCGTTCTTCTAAACTCCAGTAGATATGTTCCTAACCAATCCGATCTCTCTTCATACGTAAGTGCTGCCATTGGGAATTGCAGGAATCATGAAAGGATACTAACAGTCTGTTCTCAGAGCTTTGGTGTTTGTGGGTAGAAGGTTCTTTCATTGACTGGGTCTAAGGACCCATTCAGTTTACAGTGGGAGAAGAACAGTCAGCAGTGAGACTGAACAAGAATAGGCTCTTGCCTCAACAAGATGTAGTTTACTACACAATAGCAATTAGGTGCAAGATATATTAGCTAGTTAGATATTGTTGCTAAGACTAGGAAGAGACCTGTAGCATTGGTCTGCACTCCACCACATCATGTCTTATCCCCACCCAAGCCAGCATGGCATGATCAGAGTAGGTGGAAGGAGGTGACTGAGTTTGGGAAGAGGCAGACAAAATGGGGAGGAGTAGGAAAAACTAAATTCCACATCCTTCTCACTCCCGATGATCCCTCCCTCGTGTTGTCCCTCAAGGTCAAGTAACCTGATGAATTCCACTGTGTAGGGGGTGCCAACCTTCCATGATTGCTCTGGAGTCTCCAGCAATCTGACCTTAATTGTGTGGACCATAAGATGATGGAACAGAGTTAGACCGTTTGGCCTATCATGTCTGCTCTGCAATTCAATGAACCAAACCCTGAGAAAAAAAAATCATTTTTTCGTTTTCTTTAAACACTTGTGTCTACCATCTACCACAGATGGAGAGATAGGCTGCTTGGCTGACACTCAAGAATCACAATATAATGTGAAACACTGTGTTGCCGTGACATATCGGCTGACCAATGACAGGAGAGTGGGGTGGGGCAGAGAGATTTGGAGGCACAAGATCATGTGATGGGACACCCAGGAATCCAATCAAGTAGAGCCGGCAAGCCCTTACCCTCCCACCGAGGTGCCCCGCTCACCTTTATCTGCGCTTCATCCTTTGACCGCCTGCGTTTCTCCAGTTGCTTGCTGGCACTGCCGGGGGTAGTACCACTGACAATCATGGAAAGCTGCTCTTCCTCTGCCTTTGCGCTTTGCTGTTTCGCCTTTTCAAAATCCTCACAGCGCTGATAGTACATCTGTTTTGACTTCCGCAGTGCTGTCAATGCATCATTCTGAGGAGTGGAACCAAATCACAGTGTCAGTGATCAAGTATCTCCCAATATGTACTTTATTCTTTCAGATTCAGCGACCTGTCTTTAGCAAGGCCTTGGTGAGACCACGTTAGAGTAAGGAGCGCTGTCTTTGGTCTCCTTATTTAAGGAGGGATGTACTTACACCAGAAGCAGTTGAAACAAAGTTCTCTAAGCTGATTCCTGGGAGTGTGAGATTGTCTGATGAGCAGGGTGGGTGAATGTTCATTGGAGTTTAGAAGAATGAGGGGTGATCTTATTGTAACATGTAAGAGATGTTTCAAAACCAGTATTTAAAAAGGTGGCTGTATGTTTTCAAAGCAAGTGACCTGATATCCATGGCAAGCATCATGTAAATAACTGTTTGAACAAGCAGTAATTGAAGGTTGAATTACAGATGATTTGGAGGCAAGCAGGTGTACAAATTCAAAGTTGATTGTCCTATGGACTAGTAACCAGTCATCAATGATCGAGATCTCTTGCCTGACAAAATTATGTGACTGGTTGTAAAGATTGTGTCATTATGTGATCATGTAACTGATCAGCTTGGAGCTGGGAACAAGTTACAGCGGGAGGGAGAGAGTGAGAGAACAGATCCCCACTTGGGGAATGGTGTCTCTATTCTCTGCAGCCAAAACTCAAAACTCACTGTAACCTGAAGAAAACCAGTTTATCTTTCCTGCAACAGTCGATATAAGTTGTGACATTTAACTGATAAGTCAGAGGCCTTTTATAAGTAAACCAGCCGCCTTAAGTCTCTTACCAATCAGTGGAAACTCTCACAGAAAGATAGCTGCAAAGCAATGTGCTCATAAGCAGAAGAGTAACAAAGATCATCCCAACAATACAACCTGTGAACAAAGACTATTGAACTGTCTTTCCAGTTTTCCCCTCTACCATTAGCCATTTTTACTGTACGTGTGTGTGTGTGTGTGTGTGCGTGCGTGCACGTGTGTGTGTATGCATGTGTGTGTGTGTATTTATCTATATGTGTGTGTCTGTGTGTACGTGTATGTGTGTGCATGCCTCTGTGTCTGAGAATGTGTGTGTGTGTGTGCGCGTGTGTCTGTGTATGTCTGTACGTGTGTGTGTCTGAGTGACTGTGTTTGTGTGCGTATATCTAAATGTGTGTGAGTGTGTGTGTGTCTGAATGTGTGAGAGACTGTGTATGTGTGTGTGTGTAAGGAGGAGTTTATAACATGATTAAAGTTTTAATTAGTAGGGTTAAATGTTGACAGTTTATAACTGTTTACCTGTAGCTAGGTCTAATTATCTGTAATATATAGTATTTCTTGTGCAGTACAGAAACATAGTCTATGCTTTCTGAAAAATTTCTGACTCTGAAAGTCAGGTAATCTTTGGAACTTTGCATAATTTATAAAACTTTTAATTTTTGTCACCTCTCTGGGAATAGCAGAGCTCGATTTCCAGTGCACTGTCCCCAGTGAGCTGTGACAAATGTTTCACCTACCATTTTACGTTGCTCCCTCTGCCACTGCTCCTTAAAGTCCCGCCGCTGTTTCTCCAGTTCGTTTCTTCTCAACATCAGAGGCTGTGGGCAGGAAAAGAAGGGAAAACCTTTTTATATAGGAAAAGAAACAGAGTATTTCCCTCAAGGAACCAGTGGCTAGTTCTGGGGTGAACCTAAAGACCAGTTAAGAATTGGATCATTATCTGGATCACATCAGAACGAAAAGGTAGGGAGTGACACTGGATAAAGTGCCCTTGTGGAGCAATGGCACAGATATGATGGGCCAAATGGCCTCATCCTGTGTTGTAATCATTCTATGGTCGGCCCAGTGCTGTTCAAACCTGTTCAAATGCTGATCTCATTCATGTTGGTGCCATCTATGAAACTCCTCATAGCTCTCAGTGCCCTGGAATAAGTCAAGATCTTCTCATTGCTAACCAATGACCCCACACCCCAACTTGCAACCCTTGACAGGAAAAATATTCTCAGTTGTAAAATAAGAAATCTCCCAATTAAGAAGGAGATGAGCAGAAAGTTTTCTCTCACAGAGGGGTGTAAGTGGGAGGGACTAGAACTAGGGAACACCGTTAAAAAAAAGTTGCCCATTTAATACCCATGTCTATTATGGATGATAGTATAAGGTAGCGGTGGAGGTTAGACAGACTTTAGGTTTCAGGTAAAAGTTCGGCACAACATCGTGGGCTGAAGGGCCTGTACTGTGCTGTACTGTTCTATGTTCTATGTTCTGTGTTCAAGACAGTGTCCCCCTAGTTCTAGTTTCTCCTGCAAGGGAAAACATGTATTCAATATCCATTCTCTCAAGTGCCCCTCAGGATCTTGTAGGTCTTAATAAGATCACCTCTCAATCTTCTAAACTCGTACCCCATTAAGTATATTTTTGGTGAAGATGGACAGAATTTGAGTCAGTAAGGGTATCAAGGGTTATGGGGCAAGGGCAGGAAAGTGTACTTGAGGATTATCAGGTCAAACATGATCTCATTGAATGGCAGAGAGGACTTAATGGGCTGAATGGCCTACTTCTGCTTCCATATCTTATGGCCTTATAGTACAAGGCTAGCCTGTCCAACCTTTCCTTATAAGGTAGCCCCTAACCTATAACTGTGTGACCTATAATCTTTCCCTACATTTTCTCTGCTGCTCATTTGGTACACTTGCTTTTGTTGGTCAGTGCATTGAGTACAGTAGTTGCAATATCATGTTGCGGCTGTACAGGACATTGGTTAGGCTGTGTGTGGAATACTGTGTTCAGTTCAGGTCTCCCTGCTATAGGAAAGACGTTGTTAAACTTGAAAGGGTTCAGAAAAAAATTACAAGGACGTTGCCGGGATTGGAGGGTTTGAGCTATAGGGAGAGGCTGAAAAGGTTGGGGCTATTTTCCCTGGCGTGTCGGAGTTGAGGGGTGACCTTATAGAGGTTTATAAACTCATGATGGGCATGGATAGGGTGACCAGCCAAGGTCTTTTCCCTGGGATGGGGGAGTCCAAAGCTAGAGGGCATGGGTTTAGGGTGAGAGGGGAGAGATTTAAAAGGGACCTAAGGGACAACTTCTTCATGCGGAGGGTGGTGTCTGTATGGAATGAGCTGCCAGAAGTGACGGAGGCTGGTACAATTGCAACATTGAAAAGGCATCTAGATGGGTACATGAATAGAAAGGGTTTGGAGGGATATGGGCCAAATACTGGAAAATAGGGCTGGATTAATTTAGGATATCTGGCTGGCATGGATGAGCTGGACTGAAGGGTCTATTTCCATCCTGTACAGCGCTATGTCTCTACAACTGTATGTTGCTGTTACTCCTTGGTGTTACTGTGGACTTTGGCCCTTAACCTCGATAGGTCAGTTAACACCAGTGATTTACCAGCTTACTGGCCTCCTGTAATGACTCTGCTTTGGGATAAAAGAGAATTAGAAGAAGTGTCATACTGGACTCAAGAGGTTAATTCTAGTTCCTCTTTCTACGGATGTTGCTAGACCTACAGTGTTTCTTCAGTATTTTCTATTCATAATCATGCACATAAACATTCTATAAGCACCAGAGGCTCTAAAGTATTAATTATTCTGTTGCGCTGAGGGAGATAACGTCTGCTCTTCCCACAGTTAGCTGCCCAAGGACGTAGGAATATATGAATTTCTAGATGGAAAAAGAGCAGGCTTATTCCAGTTCACCTTCTATCATTCTTGTAGTCACATAATGACAATAACTATGGGGTCATGAACTAACCATAGCGTCAATCTCTATCAATTAGTCTAGAAAATTAAATTATAACATACTGAACTCTCTAGTAAGTGCCACCCCCACCGCCCTACTTTTTCACCATTGCCCTACAAGATTTTTATTTCCTTTCAGGTGCTTATCCAATTCCTTTTTGAAACTCACTAATTGAATGAATGAATAAGTGAATGAATGATCTTTTTGTCATGGGTATTTTACAGTGAGAAAAACAGTAAAATACAGTGCAAAGCTTTTCCACTGTCAGCACAATCTGGCACAATTTCGAATGGTTTTAAGAATAAGAAAAAAATAGAAAGATACAGAGAGACTGAACAGGCTGAGGCTATTTTCCCTGGAACGTTGGAGGAGTGACCTTATAGAGATTTATAGAATCATTCGGGGTATGGATAGGGTGAATAGCCAAGGTATTTTCCCCGAGAGTGAGGGAGTCCAAAACTAGAGGGGCATAGGTTTAGTTGAGAGGGGTAAGATTTAAAAGGGACCTAAGGGGCAACCTTCTCACACAGAGGGTGGTGTGCGTATGGAACAAGCTGCCAGAGGAAGTGTTGGAGGTTGGTAAATTACAACATTTAAAAGGGATCTGCATGGGTACATGAACAGGAAGGGTTTAGAGGAATATGAACCAAATGCTGGCAAATGGGACTAGGTCAGATTGGGATATTTGATTGGCACAGACGAGTTGGACTGAAGGGTCTGTTTCCGTGCTGTACAACTCTGTGACTCTATGATTTAGCTTAAATGGAGTCCAACAGTCCTGAACCGACTCATCATCAACGATATTTCACTCCCATCCCTCCTCTACCACCTCACTGCTGTCTACACCAGACCCAGCCAAAGTTGAAGTCACCACTGTGCTATGGGAACCAGAGATCCAAACTCACCTGTTCCTCCCTAGGACACCACACATCACATATCAAATTACTCAAGAACTGCATCACCAAAGGGTTTCTTTTTATTATTGAATTACTTCATTTGGACTCAGAAACAGAAGCATGGTCGAACAGGTTGGGAAGGTTAGGAAGGGGTTTGATAGGGATTTAGGGTATATGTTTCGGCTTGCGAGGACGCAAGTCCAAATTTAGAAGTCACGACTATAAGATCTCACTAACAATTCAGCGAGGAATGCAGGACTCACAGCTTTGCTCAGAGATGTCATTAGGATGTGGAACTCAGTACCGCAAGGAGGATGAGGCAAATTGCATGATGTAATTATAGGGAAGCTAGATCCAATGAAGAGGAAGAAAGGAATAGAAGGAAATGCTCGTGGGGTTGAATGGAGAGGAGCTCATGTAGAGCATAAACACCAGTGTGGAACGTTTGGGCCATATCCAGCTGTGAATACTAGCTGACAGGCTTGGGCAATGCAACACAAGACCACCTGCCCTAACATTGGAAAGTACAAGTGAAGCTATTCACCAAAGCCCTCACCTGGATATATTTATTGTGCTGCAGTGAATTCCTGGATTTAATTGTCCTCTGACTGTGTTGGATGTCATGCTGCAGAGCCATCATATAAATGTATTGAAAAGGCATGAATTTCTGTCAAAACAAAGAGATGATGCATTATCTATAAGCATTGTCATCGCTTCCCACAAGTTCCAGAGTTTTTGACTGAACACAGAATTGTGATCAGACCAAAACACAAACTGCCTGTTCTCATGGAATTTGCTCCATTTTATCATAGAAAGGCCAAGCTTGGTTGAGTAAGGCCCCCTCTCCAATGTAGCAATGAGGTGGGACTTGATTCAGCAATGATTCCCTGACACAAGCCAAATTTGCCGCCCCATGACTACAGTCAGAAGGTGATGTGGCAATTCCTAGTTCAAGAGCTGGTCTTACCTAGGCTGTTCCTTCAATGCAGTTAGAGGGAGATGGTAGTGCAGTAGTTGTGATACTGAACAAGTAATCAGGAGGCCTAGGCTAATGCTCCAGGGATGTGGGATCAAATCTCAGTTGTTGCAAGCTAAAATTTAATTAATAAATCTGTAACATAAAACTTCTTCAGTAATGGTGACCGTGACAACTATTGTCTTTTGGGACGACACGGTGGCTCAGTGGTTAGCACTGCTGCCTCACAGCACGAGGGACCCAGGTTCGGTTCTAGCCTTGAGTAACTGTCTGTGTGGACGTTGCACATTTTCCCTGTGTCTGTGTGGGTTTCCTCCAGGTGCGCTGGTTTCCTCCCACAGTCCAATATGTGCAGGTTAGAGTGGATTGGCCATGCTAAATTACCCATAGTGTCCAGGGATGTACAGGTTATGTGGGTTAGCCATGGGAAATGCAGGAGTAGGGTAGGGTGGTGAGTCTGGGTGGGATGCTCTTCAGAGGGTCATTGTGGACTTGTTGGGCTGAATGGCCTGTTTCCACACTGTATTGATTCTATGGATCTATTGTCATGAAATTCCACAAGCTCACTAATGTCCTTTATGGAAGGAAATATGCTGTCCTTCTGGCCTACATGTGCCTCTAAACCACACAGCAATGTGGTTGATCCTTAACTGACTTCTGAAATGGCCCTAGCAAGCCACTCAGTTCAAGGGCAATGAGGGATAGGCAAAAATTGCTGGCCTTGCCAGTGATGCCTACATCCGATGGAAGAGTAAAGGGGAAGAAAATGTTGAATGATAGTACAGGCTATTATCAAGCAGCTTTGTTGGAATGGGACAGTACCCTCTTCTACAATGGCTCAATGTGGCCTTCACATTCAAATCCAAGTTCAAAGATGATGAGGAGTTTCCCACTGTGGGCCTGCCCTTGCCGAGAGAGAGCTTCCAGGCAGCACTGAATGTCCAGTGTATTCAGTTTTGAAGTTTAGTTATTCAGGTATGGCATTGTGTGACATAGCAAGATTCTCCAAAAGACAGTGTTGAAACTAAAGGCTCAGTTCTCTTATTCTTGGTGCAAATGAAGGAGGAATGTTGGATCATGGAACATCCTTTACCTCTTGGTTGATTGAATTCTTGGTCATTTCGGCCATCCGAACCATGCTCTTCGAGAATTCAATTTCTGCAGAACGAGTAGAGTCAAAAGGATTACATTACCCAAAGACATTTCTGCCCATATCTGTTCAGGAGTTTGTTTATAAGAAGAGAATAGTGATGGGATCGTGTTGAAAGTACGTATAAGAGGGTAGATAGCTATGGTAACCATCAACATATAAAGAGCCTGTGTAAGATACAATGTAATAAAGGCATCCAGTGACAGACTCACTGATATTAAACGTACAGGACAGCGATAGGCTATTTGGCAGTTCTGCTCTATTGCCAAGGTTTGCTCCATATGAGTCACCTATAGTGTTGCCAGAGATCATTGTATCACTTCCTCCTCACATATTTACCAAGCTTCCAGTCAAAAACATCGGGTGATTGACCCACACAGAACAGTCAATCACTGAACTGATCAGATTGTATCCTTTTACCCATTTAGTCTCACTGCAAACCATTTCCAACAAGCATCAATTTGTTGATTGGTATGTAACTGGATTTTGAACAGCAAACTAAATTTATAATTATTGCTGTAAAGACTCACTAACCTGAAAAAAGATTCATATTTGTAGCATGTCAATCTTCTTCATTTTCAATAAAATTCCACATAATTTTAATTTTTAAAGTTTTGATATTTCAGCTTCTACATTAATGCTTTGTATGTCATTTATTTCCCAAAGTTTTACAGTGACAGATCTGCCCTTACCGATTCTGTACCCAAGTGTCATAAAATGACAGAGCTGTCCCCACCAGTACAGTACCCCAGTGTTATACAGTGACAGACCTGTCCCCACCAGTACTGTACCCCAGTGTTATACAGTGACAGACCTGTCCCCACCAGTACTGTACCCCAGTGTTATACAGTGACAGACCAGTTTCCAACAGTACTGCAACTCATTATTATACAGTGACGGACCTGTCCCCCACCTATACTGTACCCCAGTGTTATACAGCTACAGACCTGTCCCCCACCAGTACTGTACTCCAGTATTATACAGTGACAAACCTCTCCCCACCTATACTTTACCCCAGTGTTATACAGCAACAGACCTGTCCCCCACCAGTACTGTACTCCAGTATTATACAGTGACAAACCTTCCCCACCTATACTTTACCCTAGTGTTATACAGTGACAGATCAGTTTCCAACAGTACTGCAACTCATTATTATACAGAGACAGACCTATCCCCACCAGTACTGTACCCCAGTGTTATACAGCTACAGACCTGTCCCTACCAGTACCGAACTCCAGTGTTACACAGTGACAGACCAGTCCTCATCAGTACTGCAACCCATTGTTATACAGTGATAGACCAGTCCCCACCTGTAATGTAACCTAGTGTTAAACAGTGACAGGTGTCCCCACCACTAGAGTACCTCAGTATTATACAGTGACAGACCTCTCCCCACCAGTACTGTACCCCAGTGTTATACAGTGACAGACCTGTCCCCATCAGTACTGTACCCCAGTGTTATACAGTGACAGACCTGTCCCCATCAGTACTGTACATTTCAATAGCACAGCACCTTCACATCCCTCTACTCACCCACAGAGATCCGCCTTTCCATCCACGACAGCAGTTCCTTTGTGTATTTGGCCCAGAGTTTGGCATATAGAAGGGCTGATTCGACACCTCCTTCACACCTCATCAGCATTTCATCGGCCTCTTCCACTGTAGAGGGAGTGAAGAGAGACAGGATCATGAGGCTGGATTCTGCATGTGGCCCATTACACACAGAGCCCCACACACAGGAGATTAAGAAGCATTAAATAGCAATGTCTGGATGACTGTCAGACAAAGGATACTAAGGAGAGGATTAACTAGCAGGCTGTCAGCAAAACGTATTGAGACACATATGGACTGTCAGTGACAAAGAAATCAGCAAGGATGGGAGATTGAGAGAGTGAAGTGTGGAGCTCAGAACTGGACACACTATTCCAACTGGCCTCTATCTCCATGTAGTTTCCCCAGTGTCTGAGAGTTAGTCAGAGTATGCTTTACTCTACTGGGGAGGGTGGTCACAAGACCCACGTCAGCTGATACAGGGTTTGAACCTAAACCATTAAAGCTTATTCTGCTTTACACTCCAGCCATCATACTCAGTGGACTAATCAGGCCTTGATCAATCTAACTGGGTTTAGTATTTAAAATCACAAGCTTTTGAAGAGCTGCTCCTTCCACTGTTCACCTGACAAAGGAGCAACGCTCCGAAAGCTTGTGATTTCAAATAAACCTGTTGGAATATAACCTGGTGTCGTGTGAGTTCTGACTTTGTCCACCCCAGTCCAACACCGGCACCTCCACTTCAGCTTTAATATAACTGCAATAAAAACAGAAATGCTGGAGGAACTCAGCAGGTCTGGCAGCATCTGTGGAGGCAGAAACAGAGTCAAGTATGGCTCTTTGGAACCTGGCCTTGCCTTTGTACCCAATTCCTTTGTTTATTAAATCAGTAATACCTTGTGCTTATTTGACAACCTTCTAAAAAAAACACAGGAACATGAATGGACCCCAGAGCCTATACTACCATTCAGCTAGGTCCCAGATTACCTGCACTAACCCTCCTTGGCTTTGGAATCCAAAATAACTGCCTAAACCCAACAGACTCAGTTTTGACACTTTCAATTGACTTTTATGTCGCTTTAGTTTTTGGGAGGTTGTGTTTAAAATTTCCGCTCCCCTTTGTGTAAAGAAGCGGTTCCTAGCATTCCAACAAGGTAAAGGCGATTTTAAGTTATGTCCTTGTTCTAAACACCAAATGGATTTTCCTTGGAATCAGTTCGCTCATCCAGAGTTCGGAGCTCCTCGCCATTTACAATGTACTTTGATAAATTGGTTCACACCAAACTCCACCTGCCACTCACTTTATGGAACTCAACTCCTAATGCCCAGTGTCAGTGAACGCCAGGTCTCTCTGTTCCTGTACATTTATACAGTTACTTTACAACTTCTCCACTCACATGTCCTTTCATGTCAAATCCCACACACTTTGGTGTGTTAAACTGCATTTGCCACACATTTGTATATTTCACTAGATTTCACTACCTCTTGGTAAAACAGCAAGAAAGACCTACATTTAGAAAGTGCCTTCCACAACTACCAAACACCTCAAAGTGTTTTACAACCAGTGAGATTTTCTTGGATGTGTAAGGTAATCTACTCTCCCCTAATTTTTTGGGGTTACCATTCAAAAGTCAATATGTCGTAGCATGTGCACGACCCCCAACCCTCCATTCCTGCCTCAAGGGAGTTTTGAACGCAATCCCTATTATCCTCTTCACTGTCAACATTCCCAAGCTTTGTGCTTTCGGCAAATGTTGAAATGATGCTACGCTCAGGTCCAGTTCATTAAAGTGTATCAAAGAAGTAAAGGTACACTTTGGTAGCTAAACCCTCTTGGCCAGTCTGTATAACATCCTCATACTGACCGACACAAAACAAAGCATCGGTGTATTAGCATTATTATTGCCAGTTCATCTTCAACACGCTCATAAAAGGAATAGTGTCTGCTTATAATGAAACCAGCACAGTGGATCCAGCCTGAGGCAGGCATGTGCTGATTAAGTGCAGATACTGTGTCACTAACCCCTCCCGAAAGCTTGCGGCATTCAATAAAAATGCAGGAGAGCCAGATGGTCCAGTTCAGAGTCAGTACCTCTTCGACGAGGCCTGTTCCCATATTAAGCACAACACAAAAGGAGCCTCTGTCATTCTCCGATGTGACTGTTTGACGGATGATTCAAATTTGTTCATCAAATTTTTGTTCCCTGACATTATGTGACATTGTTTTTAGCTGATGAGGCATCCTGGTGCCAGCCATACCTCCTGAATGCAGACATCACTGGCATCTCCTGTCTGGTTGTTATTATTCTACACTTATTTGTCATCCCATCTACCCACGTTGCTGGGCAGGCTCCTATGTGGCTTTTGGAATGGTAATAGCAGATATTGGAATGCTCTTTCTACACTGTTGCCATCAAATTATCCCAGGGCAGATAACACACGGGTGAGGTAAAGAATAGAGCTCCAGCTATATTGTCCCATCCAACACTCCCAGAACAGGTACAGCACAAGTTTTAAATACAGAAGGTACCTCTACTCTTTTAAACTGAAAGTAAAGCTGTCTCTACATTGTCCCCATTAGACATTCCCAGGACAAGTACAGCACGGGCTGAGATGCAGAGTAAAACGAAATGTACAGCAGGGTTCAAGGTTATGAAGGTACTCTCTGTTCTGTTTTCCTGACCCTCCACAGTCTTTAAATGGATACAGTAGTACAGTGCTCTGGGTCAGTTGGTAAATATGTTGCTCATTCAGGACAGCAAAGGTCAGTTTCAATCCAAGGTAATTTCCCACCTCGCTTGATACTCTTAAGCTCACAGCTGAGGACTGAGTTCCTGGATAAGAGGTTTGCAATGTTCTCAGGTCCTTACAGTAAAGCATTGACTGTCCCTCCTCAGCCTTCTCAACCTGTATCTGCAATCTTCACACTGTCCCCCTCCAATGTCTCCCCACTGTCATCTAGCAGGGTGGGACTGCTCCCGCCTTAAATTATAGTCACAATATCATCTGTCAGGGCTTCGTTTGCCTCTCCTGCATTGTTACCTGTTGCAATTTCTCAAGGATCTTTCCTTATGCCTTTCCTGTTTCTCATCTGCAGGTGTATCATCTGAAAGCAAAGCCTTAGTTTCCACATGTATGCTGACAACACCCAGCCCTAGCTCACCACCATCTCTCTTGACTACTCCATCCAGTCAAAATTGTCAGACTGTACGGCCAAGGTCTGGGACTGCAATGAACAGAAACACCCCACAATTAGTTACTAGTTCCTTAACCACTTGCCCCATCCCTCACCCTGGTGACTATCTGAGGATGAAGCCAGCTGTTCAGAAATGTTTGTTCTGTATTGGGCCCTGAGCTGAACTTCTGACCACATTTTCCCGCCATTACCAAGACCACCCATTTTCTACATTTGTAACACTGCTCCTGTTTCAGCTGACTAGCCACTAAAACCCGCATCCACACCTTTGTTACCCTGTCCCCTTTGGACTGAGCTGGCCAGTCTCATAGTTTCACCCTCCACAAACTGGAACTCACGGGAAAGTCAGTTTCTTGTATCCAAACCTGCACCAAATCCATCTCAACCACCACCCTCACTGCTCACTGACCTTAACCGGCTCCATGTCTGACAACACCACAGTGTTAAAATTCACATCCTTGTTTTCAAATCTCTGTGTGATCTTGCTCCTCTGAATCTCTGTCACCTTCTGTAGCCTTACAAACCTCTGAGATCCCTGCACACCTACAATTCTGATCTCTTGCGAATTTCCAACTTGCTTCGCTCCGACGTTAGTGACCATTCAGCTTCTAGGGCTCAAGCTCTGCGAGTCTGTCCTCAGACATCTCCCACCTTGAACATGCTTCTTAAACTTACATCCTTGACCACATCTTAGAATGTAATGGCTCCTTGAGCAGTCCAGTGTCAAATTTCATTTGATAACATGCTTATGAAATGCCCTAGGTCATTTGATCACTGTAAAGGTGCTATATAACTGTAAGTTGTTCTGATGTAGCAAATAGCAAAATAGAGAGAAAATAAATTGAAACCAATTAGTGAGGGTTGGAGAGAGTGGAGGGGCAGACAATGAAAGGTAACAACATAATAAAGACTGAACCCGTGCCTGGCACAGAGTTGGACTGGGTCAAAAACAACAGAAATTATTCACAAAACACTTGGGTCAATTTACCTCCCATCCAATTAATTCACTCCAACCTTCAAGAAGTCAACTGGGGTATCATTCAGGAACAGATACTTTTCAGTGCTCCATTTCATAATGGCAAGCCTTTATCCAGGAGGCAGGGAGAACAAGGTTGGGGGACATTGTTGAATTATTGCTCGATCAGTCATGCAGAGGCTGAGGCTAATGGTCTGAGAACGTGGGGTCAAATCCTATCCAGGAGCTAACAGAACTAAAATTCAATTTTTAAAAAATTCTAGGATTGCAAGCTAGCCTCAGCAATGAAGCAAATAAATTATAACTGATTATTGTAAAAACCCCTCTGGTTCACTAGCGTCCTTTAGGTTAGGAAATCTGCCATCCTTATCCAGTCTGGCCTACCTGCGACTCCAGATCTACAGCAATGTGGTTGACACTTAAGCTGCCCTCTGAAATGGCCCTAAGAAGGGCAGGACTTACACAGTTAATGGTAGAGCCCTGGGGAGTACTGTCAAACAGGGACCTAGGGGTTCAGGTACACAGTTCATTGAAAGTTGTGTCACTGGTAGACAGGGTGGTAAAGAAGACGTTTGGCACACTTGCCTTCATTACTCAGACCACTGAGTGTAGGAAAAGGTCAGCAGGTCTGGCAGCACCTGTTGACAGAAATCAGAGTTAATGTTTCGGGTCAAGCGACCCTTCCTCAGAAGTCTCTGTTCTGAGGAAGGGTCACTCGACCTGAAATATTAACTCTGATTTCTGTCCACAGATATTGCCAGATCTGCTCAACTTTTCCAGCAATTTCTGTATTTGTTTCTGATTTAGAGCATCCACAGTTCTCTCAGTTTTCATTGAGTATAGGAGTTGGGTCACGTTGTAGTTGTACAGGACACTGGAGTATTAGAATCATAGAATCATAGAATCCCTACAGTGTGGAAACAGGCCCTTCGGCCCAACAAGTCCACACTGACCCTCAGAGCATCCCACCCAGACCCATCCCCCTATAACCCACCTAATCTACACATCCCTGAACACTAAGGGCAATTTAGCATGGCCAATCCACCTAACCTGCACATCTTTGGACAGGCTATTGTATACAGTTCTGGTCGCCCTGCTATAGGAAGGATGTTACTAAATTGGAATGCATACAGAAAAGATTTACAAGGATGTTACCAGAGCTGGAGAGACTGGCTACGCTGGGACTTTATTCACTGGAGTATAGGAGGTTGAGGGGTGACCTTATAGAGGTTTATAAAATCATGAGGGGTATAGATAAAGTGAGTAGCAGAGTCTTTTCCCCAGGGTAGGGGGATCCAAAACTAGAGGGCATAGGTTTAAGGTAAGAGAATAAAGATTTAAAAGGGACCTGAGGGGCAACTTTTTCACACAGAGGGTGGTGTGTGTATGAAATGAGCTGCCAGAGGAAGTGGTGGATGTAGGTACAGTTACAACATTTTAAAAGACATTTGGGCAGGTACATGAATAGGAAACATTTAGCGGGATATAGGCCAAACACAGGCAAATGGGGCTAGTTTAGTTTGGGAGCATAATCGGCACGGACTGGTTGGACTGAAGGGTCTGTTTCCATGCTGTCTGACTCTACAACTCTAAGGCAATCTGTTCAAGGGAAGTTGAAGATGGGCTTTAAATATTGGCCTTGCCAGCAACACCTACATTCCAAGAATGAATAACGAAACAACCCCACACTCATCTCGCTCCCACGTTCCCAGCCTGTAGCCCCAAACACCAGCCAAACGTTCATGCCTGTGTTGACTGGGATGAGCCATCAAGCATTCAGGCTCCATACCGTTTGTCTGGATAGCATCTCGCTCCTTGATCAAGTCGTGGTGATATTCTGAGTAGAAATCCTCATTCACCTGCTGAGAAAAAAGAGGGAGTGTGAATGGCTGCCTGAAACCTTGCTCTCGAGATCAGATAACAGCCAAGCCACTTGGCTCTCAAGGCCTAACCCGAACCCTAACCATATCCCTGGTCTGGGCCCAGTAACTGTTTGTCAGCCATGGCAGTAGCTGGGATGAGACTTGACCTCAGTATCTTCAAACTGAGCGCCGGGGTGGAAAATGCCAACCAGATTTGTCAAATAATCTGGCAACCTTTCCTACACGCTGAGGTCACAACATCTAACTCAGGGCAATGGGCCGCTGACACCTCGCATCTGTAATCCAGCAAGTCTGTTATTTTGTGCTCCACTCCAAATGGTTGGGGGGAATACGTAGGGGAAGGGAAACAGGGAGCACCGTGGGATGGGGGGGTGGGGGGGGGGGGGCGGGGTGGTGGGAATGGAGAATTTCTGGAGTCCTGTAATGTGGGCGAAATGCTGAAACTTTTAGCCATTGAGTGTATCCATTAGTGGCACCTTTCCACTCTCAGTGCAAATTCTCTCTGGGGTGCAGCAACACAATGTGAACCCCCCTGGAGACTGGTGAGAAGCATTGCAGGAGGGCTAAAGGGAACTCCTTTAGGAGAAATAGTGGGTGGTAATGTCATTAGCCACGTAACCAGAGACCCAGGCTGATACACTGGGGAGATGGGTTCAAATCTCACCATAGCAGCTGGTGGAATTTAAATCCAATTATTAAAGCAGCAATATAAAGCTTGTGTCTGGTGACCATGACAACCATCACTGATTGCTGTAGAAAACCCATCTGGTTCATAGCGTCTGCTGTTCTAACGTCTCCATGTGACTCCAGGCCCAGCAATGTGGTCGATTCTTAACTGCCCTCTGAAATGGCCAAGCGACCCACCCACTCAAATTCAGGGCAATTATTTTTCTTAAAGAAATAGAACATAGAACATAGAACATAGAACATTACAGCGCAGTACAGGCCCTTCGGCCCTCGATGTTGCGCCGACCTGTGAAACCAATCTGAAGCCCATCTAACCTAAACTATTCCATTATCATCCATATGATTATCCAATGACCATTTAAATGCCCTTAAAGTTGCCGAGTCTACTACTTTTGCAGGCAGGGCATTCCACGCCCTTACTACTCTCTGAGTAAAGAACCTACCTCTGACATCTGTCCTATATCTATCACCCCTCAATTTAAAGCTATGTCCCCTCGTGTTAGCCATCACCATCCGAGGAAAAAGGCTCCCACTGTCCACCCTATCTAATCCTCTGATCATCTTGTATGTCTCTATTAAGTCACCTCTTAACCTTCTTCTCTCTAACGAAAACAGCCTCAAGTCTCTCAGCCTTTCCTCATAAGACCTTCCCTCCATACCAGGCAACATCCTGGTAAATCTCCTCTGCACCCTTTTCAATGTTTCCACATCCTTCCTATAATGCGGCGACCAGAAATGTACGCAATACTCCAAGTGCGGCCGCACCAGAGTTTTGTACAGCTGCAACATGACCTCATGGCTCCGAAACTCAATCCCTCTACCAATAAAACCTAAGTAAGCAGGTGTAAGGGATGTGTTGGGATCACGATGGGGGACAGAACCAGATAGTGTTTGAGTTCTTTATGGGAGGTTTCTCAGCTTCTTTTAGCTGAATGCAATTGTCAGTTCCATCTGTGTATTTTCATATCTCCCCGAATCCCCTATTCCCTCAGGCCCTGCTTTTGTTGGGCAAGGCTGTTTAATGGGAACATTTCCTCTCCACCTCCCCACACAATTGGTTATTTGTTAGACCAAGAGCAACAGGCAGTGCGTACTTACAGGCATTGGGCCCTACAGGCCGAGGTGTTGACAGGCAGTGGGTGCTACAGGCAGAGGCCAACAGGTAGATCTCCAGCTTTCCGCTATCCTCAGCGTGCAAAGGGGCTTCCTAATACCACGTCTGAGCAGTCTTGGTCTAGTTTTGTGGTCAAACTCCCAATTGTCCCAAACTCTCTGTGTCTGCCAGGAGGGAAAGTTATCTCCTCCCCACAAATATCCTACCAACTCCCCTCATAGCTTTAAACGCCTCAAGAATTCAATTCTAGTCCTCACAATGTAGCCCTTTTAGCCTCAATGTCACTGATGAATCTGCACTGTACCTGAGACCTGGGTGCACTCCCAAACCCCTCACTCCTGCCTCCCCACTACCCCTCCTCAGATCACATAACTCCTACTCACCTCCTCCTGCTTTTCGACTCCATGTTCCTATGCCTCCCTCCTCAATCTCACCCCCTTCACCTTTTTGACAAAACACTTGGGACTCACCGCAATCTCTTCATCTGGAGATGGGTCAGTGGAAATGAAGCTGTCCTCTGTTTCCATCATGAAGAGGTCGACTGTGCTATAGGGAGAAGAGAGAGTGAGAGCACTTCAGGATGAACCTATTGGTTAGGCCTCCTCCAACTTACAATCCCCAACAAGATGGGATTTTGGGTTCGCGAGCTCAGAAGCAGAACGGCTGCTGTGGAGCTCAGACTGATTTTAGGTCAGCTGCAAGGCCCTTTTAAATGTTAGTTTTAAATGTTACAGGACGTGACCACATGGACTGCACTTTGAGACCCAATCGCTGCTGCAAAAAGAGCCCATGAACAGGTAGGTGTTTAGTTTTATTGGAGCAACACTGCCATTTCACCAACTGCTGAACTGAAGGCCTCTCCATTTCTCAATAGCCTTCAAACCCTTCGCAAACCTTCACAAAATGTCGGAGGCACCCAAGCAGAGTCACTTTGGGAGAATTTTTTTTTGAGGCGCTGCTACAGGAGATTATGAACTTTTCCACAATTACTTAGGACTCAGTCTAGTTTAGGGGAAGTTGGTGGTGAAGAGGAATTAACAACTCGCGACTTTAACCACTGGAGCCACATCTCCACTCTTTACTGTTGACTTTTAAAGGGACTTGGGTAATAATTTAACCCAGCAGCGTTGTTTGAGAACAGCTTTGATACTGAGCTGAATACACTTCAACAGCGGCTGACACTCCTTTTGCAGTTTTATGACCGTGAAGATTATAGCCAAATTCCAGACAGCAGCTACAAAAACTAGGAAAACAAGTAAAAGAAGTGTTGCTACAAATCTACAGGGCTTTAGTGAGACATATGTAGAGTACTGAGCGCAGTTTTGGTCTCCACATTTCGGGAAGAAACCTAACCTCAACCCCATCAGATTGGAGGCAGTCCAGTGAAGATCATTACGTTGGTACCTGGAACCAGACCTATGATGACGGGCTAAGCCAATTGGGTCCAGATTCTCTGGAGTGTAAAAAAATGAGAGGCGACCCCATTGCGAATTTCAAGGAGGGATGACAGATTACAGTAGTAGATGTTTCGGATTGGGATAGACAGATTCTTGGAATCGAAGTTTCAGGGAATCGAAGGATATGGGGAGACGGCGAGAAAGTAGAGTCGAAGCCCCAAGATTAGCCATAATGGCACTGAATGGCACAGCAGACTCGATGGGCTGAATGGTCTACTCCTGCTCCTTTTCTTATGCTGTCAAATGGCGGGCATTCGATGGGCTGGTACTCACGAGTTTCCGAAGGAAATTTCTAGCGCATCCAGCTCCCGGAATATTTCACTGTAACGTCTCGGCTTTTCATTACCTTCGCCTTGATCACTCAGTCCTGTGCGGAGAACAAAGTTTGTTACAGATAGCGTTGAGGATTTGTTTCTCCCCCCCCCTCTTCCTGTTCATCTCTCTCTTCCTGAGGCCCTCATATGCCTGAAGCCTGAAGAGATGGTAGTGAAACTAAGGGAATTCCCACCAGATCCAACTGTCTAGAGAAAACAGAGAAGGTGGAGTTTTTTTCTCTCTCCGCGTGCCTGAGATAACGGGGTTGACCAATGATTAGAGACTGAGTGAAACTGGATTTTAACGGAATGATAGTTGATCTCATTGGAACACATAAGGGCTACGATGGGGTTTGACAGTGTAGACATGGAGAGATTGACTCCTTCTCCCGTGGCTGGGGAATCGAGAACAGAATGGCACACAGTCTCAGAGACAATCATTTAGGCCTGAGAGGAGGAGAAATTTCTTCAAGCAGAGGGTTGTGAATCTTTGAAATTTTCTACCCAGAACGTTATGGATGGACCATTATTGAACATATTCAAGGCTGAAACTGATAAATATTTGATCTGTCGGGGATTTCGAGGCATAAAGGAGGCAAACGTACAAGTGAAGTTGAGGCAGAAGATCAGCCGCGGTCTTATTAAATGGTGAAGCAGGCTAGAGAGGCTGAGTAGTCTAGTCCTTCTATCAGGCACATTTTTAAATGCAACTCAGGTTACAGTCTTATATGGTGCTAGGCTAGCAACGCACTGATTGTGAATTTGAATCCTCTGACAGTGAGCTGGATTCGAGGGTTGTGATTATCTGCAAACCCCAACATTTCTGCAGAAACCTATTTCAGCAGCATCTTTCCGTTAAAGGGATGGCTGAGCAGACCTACTCTGGTCTCTCCATGTCAGGCAATTGACTGTCTGCAAGGCTGTAGCATGGCCAGCGGTTATCATTAGGGTTAGGGTTAGGGTTAGGAAGGAGTCCTACCTTCTCATGAATGATAGACTTGACTGGTCTAGTATTGTCCACATCCCCACAGTTATAAGTACGTAATATTTAAGAGCTGATGGTGCTTTCCCTGATCCCAGGTCGGCCCATATGATCTGATCTCAGGAAGTCTGGTCATAAGGGTAAAGTCCTAAATTTCAATCAGTTCTGAAGAAGTCAAACAAGGCTCAAAACTCTGTTTCTTTCCCCAGGGATGCTGTCAGAGCTGCTCAGTTTCTCTAGCATTCTCAGTATTTGTTCCAAACTTCATTCTGCTCACCCAGGAGGCATGTCCAACCAATGTTCTACCCCTTTTATTTAAGGCCAGATGATCACACTACAGCCTCCAAGACACAAGTTCAAGCCTCACTTTTAAAAATATTCTTTCATGCAGTTGCCAGATTCTAAGTCCCAGGCTCCACAATTTGTATGGAGTGTGGGGTGGAGGAGGTGCAGAGGCAGCAAGGAGGTAGAGCGGCAGGGGAGTGTTTTTGATTGAGAGGTGGGGCGCAGGGGAACCGGGGAGGGAATGGGTGCAGGAGGGGACACCGTATTGGAAAGGGGGCCCTTGAGGGAAGCCTGTAGCCTATGCCCAGTGACCTGCCAGGCTTCCCTCTGCTCCTGAACACCTCTTGCCAGCCTCACAATTGAAGTTGGATAGGAAGTAGCCTTCAGTTGGTCAAAGACTGGGGGCGAGAATGGGCAGGTAAAAGTGTGGCACAGGTAAAGGGCGGGCCTTTGGGAGGGTGGCAGATCGTCCTGGGTCGTTTTTCAGACACTCCATAAAATTCTGCCCGTGGCATGTGGGAGTACAATGGATCTAGGAGAGAGTTGAGCTCAGGATGCTTATCTTTCCACCAGTGAGGTTTTCCTCATCTCATACTCAAACCTATCATTGATTAATTCAAGGAGATCAATCACTATGATTAATCAACATCTTCATGACATTGTATCAAGTGACCACCAGGATGGTATGTCAACAAGGTGGATGTTGATATTTCTTCACCAGAAAATTCTTCCACTCCTATTAGATGAATCATTAGCTGCAATTTTCTGCTGCCTCCTTACACTCCAGTGATCTCCGATCCGGCCTCCCTATTATGATCTTTGAGTTAACATTTCATTCCTTACAGTGACTCCATGTTGAATGCTCCACATTCTTAAGAACGAGGCTTTCAGCTACAAGAACACCCAATGAAGCCCGACGACCTGTCCTCTCAAGCCCAGAACTGTCTTATCCCCATGTTTCTCAGTCCTACCATGTTCTCAAGTCGCTATTCATGTACCATGCCTCATCCCAACAACCCGCTTCACTTTTTTAGAGAAAGTAAGAACTGCCGATGTTGGGGTCAGTGATAACACTATGTGGAGCTGGAGGAACACGGCAGGCCAGGCAGCATCAGAGGAGCAGGAAAGTTGACGTTTCAGGTTGGGACCCTTCTTCAGAAAATAAAGATTGCGACAACTTTCCTGCTCCTCTGATGCTGCCTAGCCTGCTATGTTCCTCCAGCTCCACACTGTGTTATCACCTTTTTTTATCCTTTCATGGGATGTAGGCATCTCTGACTGGGCCAGCTTCTACTGCCCAACCCTAACCGTGAAAGCGGTGGTGAACTGCCTTCTTGAAATGCTGTAGTCCATTTGTTGTTGGTAGAAACACAATGGTATTAGAGAGGGAGTTCCAGGATTTTGACCCATTGACAATGAACAGTGATAGATTTCCCAGTCAGGTTGGAGGGGGACTTGCAGGTAGTGATCATGTATCTGCTGCCTTTGTCATTCTCAACGGTAATGGGTTTGGTAGGTGCAGTCTAAGGATCTTTGGGGAATCTCTGCACTTTGTAGACAGTATGCACTATCGCCACTATCAGTGGTGGAGGGAGTGAATGTTTGTGGATGTGGTGCCAATCAAGCGGCTGCTTTGCCCTGGATGGTGTCAAGCTTCTTGAGTGTTGTTGGAGTTGCACCCATCCAGGCAAGTGGGGAGTATTCCATCACACTCCTGACTTGTACCTTGTAGATGGTGAACTGACTTTGAGGAGACAGGAGGTAAGTTACTTGCCACAGAACTCCCAATCTCTGCCCTGTTCTTGTAGCCACAGTATTTATGCAGCTAGACAGTCCAGATTCTGGTCAATGGTAAGCTTAATATTTGTGCCACATCGGCTCAAGCCTGAACACTGTTTGCGTCTTGCTGCATGCGAACGTGGATTTCTTCGGTATCTGAGGAGTTGTGAATGGCGCTGAACATTGTGCAGTCATCAGAGAATGTCTCCATGTCTGACCTTATGATGGAGGGAAAGTCACTGGTGAAGCAGGTAAAGGTGGTTGGGCCTAGGTCACTACCCTGAGGAACTCCTGCAGAAACATTCCAATACCGAAGTGATTGATTTCCAACAAGACAATCACAACTGCCTTCATATGCGCCAGGTATGACTCCATCCAGTGCAGAGTTTTCCCTGATTCCCATTGGCTCTCGTTTTGCAAGAGCTCACTAACACCACACTCGGTCACCTCACCTCTTGAGTTCAACATTTACATCTATATTTGGACTAATGTTATTATAAGGTCTGGAGTGAAGTGGACTTGACAGAAGCTGTTGTAGATATTTTCTGATCAGCCTGTTCAGAAATGGTTTTACATACTTCAGGAGCAGGTGGGACTCAAATCCAGGCCTCCTGGTCCAAAGCAGAACCTTGTTGTATTGTATTACCCTTACACTAATGACATCATGTCACCCTGTCACACAAAACCATTCACTAAATTCCATTTGCCCATTAATGTGACCATGGTTTAAAATGAACAAATGGACTCCTCTTAAAAACAGTCAAGAATCTCAAACATGTTAAGTCTTTCCTTTCTGATATTTACATAACCAACTTAAAACTTCCTTGTTTAAAAAAAAACTTATATCACACTTGTTACTTGAGGGAGATCAAGGATCTGTTCAAGCAACTGTGGTATGTCTGTTGCCGATATGTATAAAGGAAATTTTCTATTCCAATGCCAAATCTCGTTGAGCTCGCTGGGCAAGTTAAATTACTGATGTTTGTCTCTGTCTTGCTTCCTCACCTTCTGCCAAATGCACTGAAACAAATCACTAAGGAATGTTTGGGATAATGGTACACACGCGCGCATACGCGTACACACACACACAAAATAACACACTGACACACCCACCCACCCACCCACCCACAGACACACACACACACACACACACAAAATAACACACTGACACATGTGCGCAGGTATGCACAAAATAACACACTGACACACACACACACACAGACAAGACACAACACACAACACACTGACACACACACACACACAACACACACTGACACATACACACACACACAGATACACACTGATGCATGCACACACACACACACACACATACAAAGACACACACACAGCAGGAAGTATGATGAATGTAACATTTTGATTACTAACCCTCTGACTCAACGGTAAAGTGATACTCATTACTGTAAAATAATACATGCATTCTGAACGTGTTAGTACGTTCTTACAAATATTAAGCAATCAAAATGTACAAGGACTTGGTGAAATAGGTATGTACTCAAGTATATGAAGAATTTATTACATGTCATGTAGGAAGGTGCTAGACTTGGCTCAGTGGAACCAATCAAGTCAGAAGGTCATATAAGTGGTTAAGGCCCATACCACAATGTGTGCTTCAGTGAGTGGGTCACTTCAGTACAGTACTGGGGAAATGCTGCACTGCTTGGGGTGGCGACGTTTGGATGAAATGTGGAACTGTGGGTCCACTCACCTTTTCAGGGGGATGTAAAAAGAATTCCATTATCAATTATCGGAAAAATGACAAAGACCTCCTTTTGTCTTGGACAACACTTATCCCTCAATCATCACCATCTAACAGTGATTCTCTGAGCAGTTAAGTCATTGTTTGCGGGAGCTTGCTATGCACAAGCTGGCTGTTGGCATTTGCTAGATTACAACTGCAACTACATTTCAAAAATTCCTCCTTGGGCTGTGAAGAGTTCTGGAATGTGCCAGGGCCATGAAAAACACTGGATAAAGGTGTTTCTTTCC